TTAAAAAATGTTATAACTTAATAATAACTTGTGTTTGCCATTTTATGTAAGCCTAATGAGTTTCCTTTCTTCTTTTATCTGCACTATACCTTTGCTGCAGTAGCGTCATACATTTCCCCACTTCGGGATGAATATAGGATTTCTGATCCTGCATTGAAATCTTTGCACACACACAAACCCCATTTTTAATATCAAAAGTCTAAAGAACAGAAGCTGCTGAAATGAGGAATTAGAATAATGTATATCCATCCTTAGTTTCCCATCTAACCTTGAAAGTCTCCCCCCACTCTCCAATATTTCAAACCAGGCCTTGATGGTGCTGGTGAGGCTGTGCTGGGGGTAGATCTGGTTTTCCCTCATGTAGAGCAGAATTCCCAGCAGCCTCTCCTGGTGCTCAGAGGCAGACATGGCCTCCTCCTGCTTAGGGTTCCCCGCTGCCTTAAACAGAGCCTCCCAGGTTTCTTGGTGCGGGGTCAGCCCCTTTTCAATGATTTCATCATACAGGGCCCAGGCGGTGGTGGTGTCTCCATTCAACATCGCTGCGGTGATAATTTCCCCGTAGTTGCGTGGTGAAGGGGTAAACACCTGTTAGGATAACGGGAAAACTAGGTGATGATAAAGTAAGCATGCCATGTCCTCCAGCTCCAATATGGATTTAAAGGGATAGTTTGGACTGTTTGAAGTGGGGTTGTTTGAAGTACTTATCCATAGTCAGTGTATTACTTACAGTAGATGGCAGTCTACAAGCAGGAAGAAAAACAATGTACTGATGCAGATGGCAATAAAACAAATTTAAGCCACCGTAAAAAACCTAGTATCAGTTCAAGTTTAGGCAATATTTCGATAATTTTTCAACACTTTACCTTGTTCTGAGACAGATATACAGTCTATGTTTTTGACAGGAAACTAAATCTGTTATCTAGCTCTCTTTTAAGCCACCAGACTCCATAAAAAAACCCAGTACTTTTACCCTATTAAACAGAATCAGGTCATTTGCCCAGGTGTACTGTACACGTTTAAAAAATACTTTGGAGTATAACAGTGCATACATAAACATATTTTATACACTATTTTAAATGACTAGAAAATGAAATATGTGCAGCATATCAGAATTTGGAAAAAAGTTGACCTTATATAACCGCACTGTATAAACTATCCCTTTTATGTGATTTTTAGGTAAAAATGGAAACGCTGTTCACCTTCTTAACCTCGTCGAGGATGCTGATGGCCTCCTTCCACCTCTCCGTGCGGCTGAAGGATTGGATAAAGAGGCTGGAGGCTCCTGTGTCCAGAGCAGGGAAATTTCCTCGCATTATTTCATAGATATCGAACACCTCGGCATCGTGTCCGCCGCGAACACACAACGTCAGGTACCGTAGTAACAGCTCATAGGAGAGCGTCCCTGTTTCCGTGGCTACAAAAGTCAGTAGTGACCTGTGGTAGAAAGGTACAGTTCAATTTAGTAACATACGAAAAGCTGTCATTGACATTTATTTTTATATTTGCGATGAATTCAAAGGGATAGTGCTTGAGATTTACATATGCTAACATATAGAGTAGGCTAGCACTGGCTTTCTTTTCAACTTTTTATTATTTGTTTTTGTGTTTCATCTGCAAAGGTCCTTTTCTACAATGGCTGACAGGTGGACAACGGCCCAAGTTCAACATACATCAGATGCAAATATAAAAGCACAAAAGTGCCAAAACACATGCAAATGAAGAAACACCTTCATGAACTTGACAAAACGTGCTTACTTAAAAGGTCCCATGTTATGCTTTTCCGGTTATTACCCGTCCCCTTGTGTGTTATGAAGGTTTTTATGCATGTAAACGGTCTGCAGAGTCACAAACCCTCAAAGTACACCCTGTAGCGAGTAAAACTCTAACACAGAAAATACCTGTCTATGCTGCCCCAGAACGCCTCGTTGGAGATTTCTCTTTTTCCATTGTGTTCTTCCTGGGTACAGTGACGTGCCCATACCCAAATGGACCCATCGCAGCGGCGAAACTGTGGCACGCTTACACTGTAGGTGCGCCGCGTTTGTGGAGCCTCGCAGATGAGGGTGCTGCAGCCCCCTCAGCACCCCCCCCCTTCCCGCGTCCATTTGCGATGTCTCGCTGTCTCGCAGACCCCACACAGCAAGCAGGAAATTAACCCAGCTCACACTGTCCACTCCTCGCAGCAGAGAGCCGCGCAACGTCCCGCCAACACGGCACCCAGAGCCCACTCAGCATTCTCATCTGTTTGTCTTTAGTGGTGTCATTTTCTGGTTGCTAACAAACGCCATTGTAACACATAATCACTGATGTTCCGCTGTAACTGTGGTGGACTCATCAGAACAGAGTGGGCGAGCTGACCAATCAGAGCACAGTGGGTTCACAGGGAGGAGGGGGGGCAGGAGCTCCAACAAGCCGTTTAGGACAGAGTGAATACACATAATATACAGAGGTGCTGTATGAGAAACCAATGTGAGTTTGGAACATTGAACAATGTAAATCTATTCTAGTAGAGCTCAACAATGGAATTATGATCAGTAGAAATGGCCATGACATGGGACCCACTACGAATGTTGCTTCAAGTTGGTCAAATTGTTTCTTCTTTTGCATGTATTTGTGTTTTTAGATATGCATCGTTTTTGAAGCTGCAGCGTGTTGCTCCTAAGGGAAATGTTTTGGGCAATTATAGCACGTTTGCACCTGTCAGCCACTTGCTGCTAGAGGACAGTACATTTCCCTATCAGAAAATAAAATGTTTCTGATTCAGCAAAAAAAAAGATATATAATTAAAGTGAGGACAATTGAGACCTAAATAAGAGTTGTCAAGATCACTGACACAAACACACACTGGTCCTCCTCTTACTTAGCGATATTCAGCTCTGCCGCGGTTGTGAACAGTGTGCACATCATGCGGATGTCAAAGCGGGGTGCATTTCCCCGAGACTCCTTCAGATCCCTCCACTCAGCAGCAGAGAGCGGCCGATCGGGAGGTTGCAGGGACGCTGTAAAACATCAAGCTCAATGAGTTTTCCAAAACACTTTGGTAGACTTATTTAGGATTTAGCCACTGAAACAAAAAATAAAAAACACTGTTAAACATAACTTAGAGTTTAAAGGTGTTTTGCGATATAGAATAAATTGTCAAAAACAATGAATCAATTTTAATGAATAGTTAAATAATAAATAGTCTGTATGTCATTTTCACTGTTTGTTTAAATTTTTAATGAACTTATTTTACTGCAAGATTATTTGTCCCTATCTTTGTCTTAACAGGAAAATGTTAAGGAGCCCTATTAGGCTTGTGGGGATTTCCCCTTTCCTGTAGTGTGTTGTATAGGCTTTTGTGCATGACATGGTCTGCAAAGGCTCAAACCTGAAGGTTCCCAGAAAAGTAAAGACGTTTTTGAACCCCTAACCCTAACCCATGTAACTGTAGAGGCACAAATAAAGAACCTTGAACAAAACACAAATCTGAAATTTCCTTTTTTAATAGCTTTGCTCAGATTGCAAAAAAACATTGTGCAATGATTAAAAGTTACAGGGACTTTAATAAATGCACATTCAGCGCCCACTGTCCTGATTGGATAAAAAACGATTTAATGCATATATTGGTGATGAGTTCATTGTAATGACACTTTTCCTAAAATAAGATATCACATTTGAAATACATCACCTTGTTAATGATGAATCGCAATATATTGAATTGTAACACCTTTTACAGGATATTAATCATATCATCATATTATTTCCAATACACAGCCCTAACAAAATGCCTATTAAGAAAGTATAACAACAATTATTTGTGCACAGATTAAAAGTGCTCTGTTCCTGCAAACAATTTGTATTCTAAAATGTTTTTGCACCACAAACATCAGCTTTAGTGAGCAAATCAGAACTCCACGTCAGTGTGTCCTACCTGTTCCTCTACTCGTCCTCCGTTCAGGTTCCCCTCCATGCTGCTCCTGCTCCTGAAAGAACAACGCTGCTTTCCTCTTCTGGATCTCTGCTGTTCTCTTTGCAGTCCCGGCAGCAAACACAGATTTGGGGAAGGAAGGCTTCTGCCTAAGAGTGGAGCTCTTACCTCTTCTAGCACCATCCCAAAAATCCCCTTCCTTGTTTTGAAAGGTGCTCTTGTTTACTCCCCCTTGCGCATCAGACCTTCTTTCTGTGAGCCTGGCTCCAGGTTTGGGGTAAGGGTCTCTGGTGCACAGGGAGCGTGCTGAGAGAGGCAGGTGTGATGACTTGAAAATGGAAGAGTTTAATGTGAAGAAACTCCCCTGGTGATAGAAAGGCTTCAAGCATATTCTGCCTTTAAATATCAATGTGGAGCCCATGTTAGCCTCTGAATTTAACTTAGATTATCTATTACTACATCCACTTCAGTTATAAATCAGCTATATTCCTTAACTGACATGACATAAACAGGTATTTCCCAGATAAACTGACTGTAAAACTACCACATGTTGTTAGCTACATGTATCAATAACCTTGCAGTTTCCAAATGCTACTTGATATCTGAAAATTACTATCGCTGTCTCGTTAGCTCGAAGCCTACCTATATGTCTTTAAATGCGACTCACACGTTCCCTTGATATCAGAAGTTAACAGCATATATCTTTTTTAATTACTTAATGGACAAATGCAACTGTAAGCTGTAGGCATGGACTAATGTCGCACACATTGACGTCATCAACGCTTGACAGCTCCGTGTGTCAAGTTTGTGAAAAATAACCAGAGAAAGACCGGAATGTGCGATTTCGGCGGTAGAATAAAGGCGAACATTTTGTCAATTAAAACGGAAAGATAACAAATATAAATACACAATATTACAGCATTTTTTTTGAATAAATATCAATTCAAATGTATACGTTGCGTTTTTGCTAATCCTCAAACATTAGACTATGAGATGTTCCAAATATTTACAAAAGTAGACTTTTATTTTGAAATACTAAACTCAAAACGGAAGCCTTACTCTTGTTCAGTCAGTTACTTGACGTTGTCTCACTTTTGGGTAGCTTGGCTACTTTAGTACACAAGTCTACTTTTGTCATATTTTTGTCTTTTGGAATGGCTAAAATATACTGACGAAATATTTAATTGGCTTCTTAGCAAGTATGGCTAAAGAAAAACAACCTCATTGGTCGGATATTTTGAAAAGAAGATTAGCAAACACCAAAAAAGGTGAGACAAAAATGTAAACTAATGTAACATACCGGCGGCTAAAGCTAGCTACTGTGGATTGATAGCCGGTTAGCTAAGTCAACATTAACTGTTGGTGTGACGTTACAGATGAGAGGAGCGAAGAGGAAAAGAAAGCAGAAGAAACAGAGCTGTTCACCAAATACTATACAGAGTGGAAGGAAGGAGGCGACAAAGACAAGTCCTACAAGACCATCCCACGATTTTACTACAGGGTATTATATTGATACATAACATACAAACCCAATGAAAAGTGTTTGCATTCATGTCGTTTTGATTGTGTTGTGGTACAAGACCAATGATTCAACCCTTGGCATCACTAAATCCCAACCACAGAATCTGCCAAACAAGTGCACTTAAATATTACATTTCAAAGAGTAATATGTAAGAAGAACATCTGGATGTTCAAGAATGTAATCTACTTACTTGTTACTAGTACCGGCATAACAATACATTGATCTTGGTTGCTGTACGGATTAAATGATCAACGATACATATCATCATCTTCAAGATACACTTTTATTTTAAAGTTTCCAATGGTATGTCTGAATCACCATTTCTGTCCAATCCCCTACTGGAGACTCCAGTGATGAAATTGTCTTATAATATTTTAGTTGCTTTTGTGAGTTGATACAAATGTAGCTGATTGTGTTAAATTGGCATGTGACTATGTCGAGTATCCATCTCAGTCCCCAAAATTAAATCTAATCAAAATTGATTATGTATATATGGTGATGACACTTGATTTACTGGGATATTCAAAATGCAACATCGCAGTCTTTCAAGACGTGTTTATCACGCAAGCTCACGTTGAGATGACGATACAAAAAAAGATATTACATCAGAAAGAAGAAAACTAGTGAATGCAATTTTCCTTCAAGGTGTCTAATGACTGTAACTCAGATGTTTTGATAGTAACTGTGATGAAATGCTCATACAATACAATGCTGAAGGGTACAGTAGACATATTGAAACACTTGTGATGGATTACATTGCTGTGCAGCTACCAGCAGAGGATGAAGTGTTACTTCAGAAACTGAGAGAGGAATCCAGAGCCGTGTTCCTGCAGAGGAAGAGCAGAGAGCTGCTGGATAATGAAGAACTGCAGGTAAACACTTCAGTCAGTCACAACATAATGACCTACTTCTACACAAGAAACAACATTGTAGGGTTTTATCTGATATCTGTATTCTCTTCCTCCTTGTGTTCCTGTAGAACCTGTGGTTCCTGCTCGATAAGCACCAGGTGGCTCCAGTGAGCGGGGAGGAGGCCATGATCAGCTATGAAGCCTACCTGCAAGTAGGGGAGCAGGCCGGGCCCAAGTGCAGGTGAGGAACAGGAAGTAGAGGTTTACTGGCACTGCACAGTTTGGGTAACACCCCTCCCTGTGCCAGTCTTTTGATGTGTTCCTGTTTGCACCAAGGATTCATGCTGGATCAAAGGCTCATTATGGGAAATCCCTCTGCTGTCACTTCTTAGATCCCTTAGGCGTCAGTGTGTCTTGCCTTTGGGTAAGACTGTATTCAGGCAAAACAAAACAATTGTGTCACTACTGGAAAGTTATTTTGTTGTGCTACTGAAGTACAGATTGAGGAGTTTGAGAAAAAACTCATTTTAAGAATAAACAATGTTTAAAATGATCCATTGATGAATAATGTATGAGTTGTTTACATGTTGCAAGACACTGCAGGTGAATAGAGTAAACAAATAACTCATATATATCACCATAGATTTTCCCAGTTGAAATATTCCATGAAGACAAATATTTTTTTATTAGGAATTATGTAGTGTTTACAATTGCAAATTATGCATTAACTTAAACCAAAAATGTTGATTTGAAACATTTAAAAAAAATGTTTTTTAATGTTAATAGAAACTGGTCTTTGATGTGAATAGAGAAGACTGATTGAATCTCGAAAAGTCAAGAAAAAGGTCCCGTTAAAATAGTTCTGTATCCAGGGCAAAAAACCTAATATTGAAAATTCAAAGTGCTTTCAGATCAAATAGAGTAAGATCAAATCAAATAAAAGTTTCTCTCCCCTTCTCTCCTCTCTTTACTTCAGTAAATTCTTCACAGCCAGAGTGTACGCCAAGCTGCTCCACAGCGACCCCTACGGCAGGATCTCCATCATGCAGTTCTTCAACTACGTCATGAGGAAAGGTCCGGACCTTCATATGTTTCCTCTTTTTACATGTTTAATATACAAAATACCTTTTTAGAATGTACAACAAATGTCAAAAAGCTCCTTTACCGTAACTCAAAATATTTTCTAAGCATATATTAGGATATTTCCCTTTTATATTAGTTTGTTTAAGTATCTCCCAGCCTAGTTTACTGACATGGATTCATCTGAACTGGTGACTATCTTGTACTCTCTTCTGTCTGTAGTGTGGCTGCATCAGACCCGTATCGGCCTGAGTCTGTATGATGTAGCAGGACAGGGCCACCTCAGAGAGTCGGTAGGCACTTCCATCACTTAAAGACACATTTAAACTGTTTCAATGCACTGAAATGATTCTTAAAAAAACATAATTTTTGTGAAATAGGATCTGGAGAACTACATCCTGGAGCTGATCCCCACTCTGCCTCAGCTGGACGGACTGGAGAAGTCCTTCTACTCCTTCTACGTCTGCACCGCTGTCAGGAAGTTCTTTTTCTTCCTCGACCCCCTCCGAACAGGTGAGTCTGAATCACACACATTATACAAATGTATCATTTAAAGTAAAATATTAAATAATACATTACTTATTACCTTTACTGAGAGTGTGTCTGTTTTGTTTTTTCAGGAAAGATCAAAATCCAGGATATATTAGCCTGCAGTTTTCTGGACGATTTATTGGAGGTAGAACCTTTTTTATTACTCTAATTCTTTTTAAGAAGTCAACGTTTTTGTTGTTGTAGGTATATGTGATAAAACGTGACAAGTTGATTTGGTTTCTACACTACCAACCGGCAGTAAAAGGACCAAACCTCATATTTTAAAGGTCCCATGTCATGCTTTTCTGGTTATTACCCGTCCCCTTGTGTTTTATGTAGCTTTTTATCAAATCAAATCAAGTGTAATTTTTATATAGCACATTTTTAAAAACGATTTTTGGTCGAGCCAAAGTGCAGTACATACAACAAAAATACTTTACAATAAAGACACTTTACAACAAATACAACAGCACAGTTTTTTGTGAATTTTCGCTTCATTTTTGTTATTTCACACCGACTATAACTCATTCTTTTTCCAAATATTACCGACACTCTTACCCAGACGCCTCTCGTAAAAAGGCGCTAGGGTTGAGCAGGTAATGGTTGCAAGTGACGCAAACTATCACTGGCGGTTCCCTTAGGACCACACAACTCCTCGAGGTGCCTAACCAGGTAAACACCTGGTTACCGAGCGGGCCCGCGGCATGTATTACCGTTCGGGTGAACGAGGAGTGTGATCCTAACCCAGTTTAACGTCTCTTTGACAAAACAATGTATCATGGGACATGATGCAGTTACTGTTATTCAACTTAGAAGTTAGGAAGAAAGTAAAACCCATACCAGTGCAGTGACATGCTCGTAGAGGTTGCTCTCGCAAGACCCCGTCGTATCTGTCCATAAAAGACACAATCTCAAAAATGAGCGATGTCACCACATGAAACTCCCAAAACACTGAAAAAGTCTGGCAAATGTACGTATGCAGTGTCGCATGGAGGAATGGGGAGTGGATAAGGTTAGTTCCAAGGTCATTGGAACGAGGGACGCACACGGAGAGGTGGAGACAAAGAATGAAGAATGAACGATGGGGAAAGGGAGTTGGATAGGATTCCCTCACGTACATGCATCTGTGCAATTCAAAACGACGATATCCGAATCTGACATCCCCCCTGTGGAATGAAGAAGGAAGACAGACAGGACATGGACACCATGAGAGTACCTAGGCTTATTGGTCGAAGGGGGTTTAACAGAAAAATCACAGATATAGATGCGGCCCTAGGACTCAGCTCCGACTAGGACAACGACACCAGGACACAACACCAGGACACAGGACGTAGGACTCAAGACCCTAGACTCAGGACCTGAAGTTCAGCGCCGACTTGGTAAGTGACGCCAGGACGGACTGAGAGGTGGTATGATGAAGGGACTACCGAGGGTGTTCTAACAACTGTAGGAGCACCCTAAGTAGAAGAATAATATCTCTGAGTACGTAAAGGTTTGTAAAACCAGATGGATACGACATTTTACATAATAAGAGAAGCTAAATGTGTGCCGTAGATAACGTGCAGACAGGCGGGACCCTCTCCCTAGGGAGGAGACAACGACGAGGGACTCAAAAGAGGGTAAAAAAGGAAATTTGACACCCACAAAGAGACCTTCAAAAAGGAACATGCTACACTCCCAGATTCCTGTCTTCCACAGCATAACAGTATGACTATAAGACA